TGCAGCTGGCTGGGAATCGGGGCTGGTTTCCTGTCTGGAAGGGAAGGGGCCCGCAGAGGGGAGCGGGGGCAGCAGCAGACAGGCACACCCCTGCCTTTCTCCCTCCCTCTTCTCCCTTCTGCTGGAAAAGCGAGGTAATTGTGAGCCTAGGGTGGGTCGGGCTGGACGGGGCTCCCAAGTTGGAAGAGGTGGCCCTGGGGGTTGGGCCACATTTACCCCTTTGTCCCACTCCCTGGGCTCACTCACCCAAGTCCTCACCTCCATTCCTCTTCTTCCTCAAACTTATCCAGAAACCCTCTCAGAAAGTTTTAACGTCCTGACAAACTCCAGGGCTCTGTAGAAACTACACGAGGCGTCCCCTCCCTGCCCCCTTCCAGCTGTGCCTGCCCCTCAGGCCCTCCTGGCACACAGATTCTCTGTCCACCCCGCCAGGGATGTGGGCGGGAGCTGGGGAGGGGCCAGAGTCGAAATGAAAGGGCCTTTTTCTTCCCCAGCTGGGAGAACAGCTGCCACCAAAGCAAGACTGGACACTCTGTGCCCAGAGTCCCCTCTGCAGCTGGCCTCCCCTCCTGGGACCCCACTTATCCTCACTTCACTTTCTTTTCCTCTCATGCCTGGCTCCCACCAGGGCCCTGGAACAGCAGTAGGCAAGGAAAGTTTGTCACAGCAGCCAGAGGGGTCTAACAGGAGTGCAGAGGGACAGAGGCAGCCTCTGCCCTCTGTCCAGGAACTGCCCACCTCTTTCAAGACCAGGGGAGCAGTAGGAGGAATTGTGGGGCAACGTGGTGCCTACCCACCCCCTCCCTCTGGAGGGGTTGACAAGGGAAGGGGCACTAGGGGGCACAGAAATGCAGGACAGATTGCACATCCTGGAGGACCTGAATATGCTCTACATTCGGCAGATGGCGCTCAGCCTGGAGGTAATGACCCCCACCCCTACCCCCAGTGCATCTCTTTGGCAAGCATCCCAGCCCCAGTCTCTGCCCTGCCCATTGCTCCTCGGGCTAAGGGGGGAGGGTGGGCCTGCTCAGAGTGGGGAGAGGGACAGGTGATTCTGTATCCCCTGCATTGGGTGCTGTGTGGCTCAGGCTTATTTTTGCCAATCAGAGTATTATATTGACAACAAGGTCTTGTCTTCACACCTACTTCTGGAAGCTTTATGGGTGGGTGTAGATGTGTGTTCTGGGGCTAGAGCCCTTTCAGGTATGGGAAGAAAAGGGGAGTTCAATGTGAGAGAGGTTTGCAGGAAGGATGTAGCCTTCCTATAGAAGGAGAAGGGGCTTTGGGGCAGGATGTAAAGAGTTTGCTGACCCTGAAGGTGCCAGGGAACTGTTTATTAATATATTTATTCTTAAATACATTTATTGAGCACTTACTATATGCCAAGCTCCTTTCTAGATCATGAGATTCTTCAGTGAACTAGACAGGAATTGTCCATTCTACAAGGGAACAGACAATAAACATGCAAACACATAAATAATCTCACATAGTGAAATTATGATGAAAACGGGAATATAATCAACATGAGGTATAGGAATGATGATGACAGGGCTTGATGATGGATTGAACATGAGGAGTGAGGCAAAGAGAGGACCCCAGGATGATTCTCAGGTGTGTGGTTAATCAACTAACTGGGCAGTGTGGCAGTTGACTTGAGTTGAGGATATAGATGTGGAGGTCAGGGAAGGCTCTATGAGGAGATAGGTGAGTTGAGACCAGAAGGATGTGAAGTTACCTGAAGACTGGAGGAAGAGCTTTTCAGACAGAGGGCAAAGCAAGCACAAAAGCCCTTAAATGGGGATGACTTCCAGTTCCCGTGTGGCTGGAACATAGTAGTTCGGGTTGAGCTCATGGGCAGAGGCCAGATTATGTGGGGCCTTGAAGGCCACAACAAGGCACTTAGATTTTACTCTCGCTGTGATGTTGGCCCATGGAAGGGTGTTAAGCAGGGGAATAACTCATCTAATGTTTTAAAATGATGGCTGCTGAGAATAGGTTAGGCTGGGGTAGGGGTAGGAGAGAGGAAGGTTGGAAGAGGGGTAGTAGAAGACACTGGAAAAAAGGTTGTTATAGCCTCAGGGTAGTGAACCTAGTGGTGTGGATGAAAGTGTTCATGGTGGAGACAAGAAGGGGGTGGATTTCAAATGATGGTTGTAGATCTGACAGGGCTTGATGATGGATTGAACATGAGGGGTGACGCAAAGAGAGGACCCCAGGATGATTCCCAGGTGTGGGTTAAGCAACTAACCAGGCAGTGTGGCAATTGACTTGAGTTGAGGAAGATGGAGGAAGCTGTGAAAATGACCACTTGGACCAGGCAGGGATTTTCTGCTGAGGAAGGTCAGGCAGGACTATAAGAGTCTAGATCAGGAATGACAATTTATTTCATGTCGCCTCTCTTGGCCCCACCCCCTCTTCCTGTATCAGAGTAGACATTAGGAGTCAATCATGGCACTCTTTATCAGCAAGCCCAGGCATGGCCTCAGAATCTTTCTCAGCACAACCTTGGCATAAATTGTGCAGGTTGCTTCCTTCACAAGGGCACCAGGTAGAGTCAGGAGTCCTGACCTGGTTTTGGGCTGCATCAGGAGGGGGCACCTTTATCTAATTTATTCGCCTGGAGAGGGTCATCTTTTTCTAATATGCAGAAAGGTACCCAATGTGCCCATTAGGATTCTGACACTGCTTAATATCCTGTGTTGGCATGTGAGGTAAAACCTGTTTGCCATCCCTAGTCCTCTGTACTGTCCATGTTACTAGTCACATGTGGCTATTTAAATTTATAATTTAATTAAAATGAAATAAAATAAAATATTTAATTCCTTAGTTGCTCTAGCCACATTTCAAGTGCTAGATGACTATTGAATATTTCCATCATTGCAGGAGATTTTATTGCTCAGAGCTGGTCTAGATATTAAAATGTTTAAATTCTGCACACACGCCTGCACACACACACATCATGTAATTTTTCTTCATGGGAGGTCTGCCCAAGTTCTGGGACACAGGAGGGAGCTTATATTTCACCTTTGTCACCTCTCCTTCAGCCATGGGCTGAGGGTGCTGTGTTCTTTCTCTGTGAAGCTCGGGAGGACACCCCCCCTACCCAGAGAGACCCATTGATGTTTAAGGGATTGGCAAGAGAGGTAGTCATGGAAGAATAAATCCAAGAAAACTTATGCGCTGGGTCCACCCTGGCCAGTGTGGCTCAGTTGGTTGGGCTTGGTCCTGTGCAGGAGAAGGTTGCAGGTTCCATTCAGGGTTGTGGCTGGGTCCCTGGTAGGGGGCCTGCAGGAGGCAGCCAATGGAAGTGCATCGATGTTTCTCTCCCTCGCTCTCTAAAAATCAATACAAATATTTAATTAATAAATAAAATATGTGCTGGGCCCAGGTGGAGGTCAGACTTCCCCACTTAATCCTCAAATGATGCTATGAAGGAGGTGGAATAATCCTCTAGTTTACAAACTGAAGCTATAGAGGTTATGTTCTCATAGCTAGTCAGGTTCCTAAGGGAGGATTTGAACTGAGCCCTGGGAACAGAAGGTGAAGCACAGCCGGAAGTCAGGGACAGAAGCGAGTCGGAGGGACAGGAAAGGATGTCCCTGGAGGCCTTAGTGTGTGTTGGGCTTCTTCCCATTACTCATCCTCCTTCAGCCCCTGGGGCCCTGACCCAGGCCCCGCGGACATCCAGCTGGGCTCTTTCTCTAGAGAGTCTGGTGAAAATGCTGCGACCTTGGGGAGGGGGCGACCAGAAGCTATCCCTGGGGAGGAGGGGCGCAATGCACAGGGATCTATAAACTAAGCCAGGAGTCCTGAGAGGCACTGCCCAGAGGATGGGAGCCGGTGTCTCTAGACGGTGGGAGAGTGGATTTAGGACCGGAGGGCGGTGGGCGGTCGTCCCAGGGGTGTCTAGGCCCTTAGGCTTCTCTGGGCTGCAGCCACTTCTGCCTGTTATTCCATTTTACACGTTATTCCAATTTACACACTATATCCCTGTCGCCCCCCCCC